CCTCCAGGTACTGGGCCCACGTCCCGGGGTGTGGGTGCAGCTTGTTCATCAGGTCAAAGTGGTAGAAGGAGACCGCCACGTCCTTGGCATTGCGCCCCACATAGATCATCTGCAGAAGGCTTGGTGACCCATGTGGGCTTGCAAGGTCCCAGCGGGGCAGGTCCCACCCTTATCTCTGCTGGGTCCTCCAGGTGCATCCCCTCCAGCCTGTTACCTTGCAGCGGTTTTCCCAGAAGGATTTGGGCAAGATGCGAGCTGGGATGTGGGTCTTGATGATGCGAGGGGACGCCATGGCCTCCAGCTGCTCTGTGCCTGCAAAGGAGTTTTCCCCAGGAGCGCTCCCGCTGCCAGCAGGGTACCCCCACCCCCAAAACCAAGCCTGCCCCCATTGCGGCACCACCTGCCTCCTGCCGCCCCTGCTGCTCTGCTACCTGCCGGCATCTTCCCAGGGGCAGCGAACTCCAGCATGGGCACCCGGTTGATGATGGCATCCCGTTTGCATTTTTCAGGATCACCACCTTTCATGATCATGTCCACGATCTCGCTGACCCAGGTGGTGCCTGGCAAGGAGAGGTCGGGCGTCCGGCTGGCGCCATTCCCGCTGGAGCCCCATCCCAGGCACCAGAGTGGCACTGTCTGCCAGCATTGCCTTTCGGCATCCACCCAAATCCCTCGGGGGAAATGGTGCCTCCCTTCTCAAGCACGGCACTTCTCTGGTGCCTGGGGACACTCACCGGATTTGGGGAAGGTGACCACCACGATGTCCTCGGGGCGGCTCTGGAAGGCGTCAACCCGCTCCCAGTTGTGGGCGAAGGCGCAGACCATGGGGATGCCGTGCACCGTACGCCAGGGCTGCCGCAGGTGAGTGTCCAAGTCGGCCATCCTGCCAGGGATGGGGGCGTTGTGTGGGGGCTGGCTGATGGCAGCGGGGAGCATCACAGGGCCACCTCATCCCCTGGGATCCCCCAAAATCCCTGCTGAGTCCAGCCATCCCGGCCACAGGAAGAAAACCATCCCCTGCTTGCTGGCATCCTGGGAGGTGGCACGTGACTCCCGCAGGAATTTTGGGGGCCAAGTGGTGATGCAGGGAGCGTGGAGGGGCACAGCTGGCCCTGGGGGACTCAGGTCAGTGCAGGTAGCTGCCTGTACCAAGCTGGCAGTGCTGTTCCTGAGCTGTAAAACCTCACAGGGGCTTTGCTGGCAGCAGTTTCAGGCTGTTCTGCCCTCTCCCCCGCCCCAGCTTTTTTCCCCTGGCTCTGTTGCGGAGCAGCGCAGGGAAGCACTGCTTGGGGGGGGCTACGTGAGGGTTTGAAGGAGATGGGAAGGAGGAGCGGGGCTCGCAGGACTCTCCCCAGGAAACCTTTCCGCCCACCAGCTGGGACAGAAACACTCAAGATGCTGGCTGCGAACCCCCCATGCTGTAATTTTTGGAGAGCGGCTTTGTGGCTTGCCTCCATCTCCCAGGGACTCGCGGGGACACGAACCCCCTCCGAGCCCGCCGCGCTCCCCCATGCAGACCCTCCGCTTGCGAGGCTGGGGTGCCCCAAAATGGGCTGAGCCCCCAGACCGTGGCCGGGGTCTCCCCGTTACCTGCCTCTTCGTCCGGAGCTCTGGCAGGGAGGAGGCAAAGCTTTGCCCGCAGCTTGGGGGCGGATTTGTTATTTTCCCCTTTCCTGCGTGGAAGATGGAGGCGCGGGGAGGTGCCTGGGGCTGCGGGAGGCCGGGGAACGTCACTAGGGAAGGGACTCGCAGTGACCCGGTCCTGGTGCCGCGGACGGAGAAGCGCAGGGAAGGGGCGAATGGGGATGGGGACGCAGCCCCCCCATGGACAGTCCCCACTCACCTGTGATGAGCTGTGCCGTGCTCAGCACCCCCGGTAAACACAGGGATGGCGACGGGGCGGAGCGCACAGCTTCCCCCTCTGCCCGCAGAGGTAAACACAGGGAGGAAATCCCAACCCACATCCTGGGGGGGTTTGAACATGACCCTTTCCCAATCCGGGGGTCACCCCCGTGGATGTCCCCAGCTCCTCGCACAGGTGCGCAGCTCACTAGCGGGATGTGGGGGTCAGGCTTTGGTCACTTTTGTCAACCACCCCCCCGCCGCCTTCCAGGCACTCAAAATACAGGTCCAAAGTTTGCAGGCTTGCAAATCACGAGTGCAGCTGATACCATGCTTCTGGGAAAAGGGTTTAAAGGCGCCAGTAAGGGAATGCTCCTCCTTACCTGCTTCCCACAGGCAAATGGGAGCCGGGAGGGACCGCGGAGGGCAGGAGAGATGGGAGCCGGGCGGGGGTGCAGCTCGCCCGCCTGTTGGCAGCCTTAACAAAACCATCTCTGATTTGTCCCCAGGGCCGAGTTCCCAGTGAGGCCGGACATGCTGTGCTGGGCGTTTGGGTGTTTTGCGGGCAGGAGCATGCCCCTGCCTTTCATCTGTCCATATGCCAGCAAAATTGGCTGCATGTGCAAACCCCGTAGGTAAAGCCAGGAGCTGGGGAAACACAGGGATCTCCTTCAGCATTTAAATAAATGCATGGAAAAGATTTATTCCTGCAGGAGAGCACTGCTGCTCTTTAGGAGTCGGATCCGGGTTGCATCTCTTTGGGGATGAAACACCACCACAAGACCACCTTGCCAAAAAGCTGCAACCTTGGAAATTCAAGAACAGGCTGGAAATGGGGCAAGACTGGGGAATTTGGGGCTCCAAAGCAAACCCTTGCCCCCAGTGGGATGGGGATTGGTTTGCTCCAGCCATCCCTGAGCAAGGGCTTGGCGCAGCCGGGTCAGGAGATTGCAGGGTGGGTTCCCCATCCAGCAAGGCCAGCGATATTCCCAAACATGGTGATACACCAGCAGGGAGGTGATTCCCTTCACCTTTGCTCTGCAAACCACAGGCCGACGAGCTCCGGCCCGCCCAGGGAGCCTGGGGCGAGCCCCGCCACCGCCCACTCTGTCAAGAAACTCACAACCCAGAGGCATGAAAGCTCCTGGGCATGCCAGAGCTGTGGGGGTAGGGGATTCGCCAGCACTTTGGGGTTTTTCCACTCTTTGCCGATCTTTGCTCCCTCCAGATGCCTTGGTAGAATGGGGCTGGGGTGGCCCGAGGTGGCAGGGGCCAGCGGTGGTTTTTGGGAGGATACCCACCCCCAAAGATGCCCAACCACCACCAGCTAAAAATCCATCCTGCATGCTCACCCTCCCACCTGCCAAGGATGGGGGTGCCCCCACCACTGCCTGGGATTTAGGGGGTTCAGCCCCCTCACCTTTCCCCACAGACAATAGCTCACCCTCCAGTTATCCCAATTTATTGCAGGAGGAAAAGCGATTTGGCACGAGGATGCTCCATCTGAACCCACCCTCCCCGCCGGGGGACCAGGGAGAAGCGGAATCCCTCCGGGAAGGGGGATAAGCCCCTCACACTTCCATCTGGAAGTGGAGGTCAGAGCCTGCCATGTGCTCCTGGTAGTGCTGGTCGAAGTGCTCATTCTGGGCGACAGTGAAGTGGTTCTTCCAGTCCCCGGAGATCCCTGAGGGGGTGAGAAAGCAAGCAGGGTAAATCCTGACACCCCTGAAATATTTGCAGTCACAGATAGGGGCTGCAATACAGCCCAGGGACACCCCTCCCAAGCCCTCCACGGCTGGCCAAATCCCACCTTTCCGGAGGAAGGGGGAGAGGCTGTGGTCCATCAGGGCAGTGGGTATGGTCTCATAGTTGGTGGCAGGGTTCTTCCTCATCTCCTGGAAGGAGGTGTGGTGGAGGATCTTTGCCAACGTCCCCTCCGTCACCTCCTTGCCCAGGAACTGCAGGATCTTCTGCACCTCCCACTGTGGGTCCTGTGAGACAGCCAACATGGGGAAGCTGGCAAAAAGGCTGGGGGGGAGCAACCGAGGTGCCCTCCCCTCCATCCCACCCTCACCTTCTTCATGTCTTCATAGAAGAGGTAGAGAAGTTGCTTCTCCTGCTTCTTCTCCCACCAGCCCTGCACGTGCTCATACCAGGACCCGTAGGCCACTGTGGGATCCAGGCAAGGGGTTAGCCAAAAAGTGGGGTGGCGGGGGATGCTCTCCCCACTGACATTTCAGGGTGGGCACCCTGGGGCTCAGCCCTGACCTTTGCCAGCCATGAAGGTCTCCAGGAACTCGCCCAGCGTGCCGGGGTCAGGGTGTATCTTGGCCATCTGGTAGAAGTAGTAGTAGGAGACGACGACATCCTTGGGGTTGCGGGCCATGTAGATGACCTGAGGACAGCCAAGGATGTGGCTGGGGGATGCAGAGCAGTGCGTTCTCCCTGCCACCTAGTCGGAGAGAGAGGTGGGGGGCACCCGTGGTGCTACCTTGCAGTCCTTGTCTCGAAAGGAGGTTGGGAGGAGCTGGACTGGAAGATGGGTCTTCACTAGCCGTGGGGATGGGGTTTTCTCCAGCAGCTCGACGCCTGCGGGACAGAGGGCTTAGTGGTGTGAGCCCCAGCACCCTCACTCCCGCCCCGGCTCAGCCCCCTCCCCACCCAACCCAGGGGAGCAACCGGACTGGGGGGCTCACCGCTCGGCATCTCGGGGATCTTCATTTCCAGGAAGGGCACCCGGTTGAAGATGGCATCCCGTCGGCACTTCTCGACATTGCCATCATGGTAGATCATGTCCAGGATCTCGCTCAGCCACGTTGTGCCTGCAGCACAGGGACAGCGTTGCAAGGGCTGCCATCGCACTGTCCCCGTCCCCCCTGCACCCTTCCCCGGGGCCACTCACCCGATTTGGGGTAGGTGGCAATGAGCAGGTCATCTGGCCGGGCTTGGAAAGCCTCCACCTGCGGCCAGCCCTCGATGA